TCTTACACTTAACTTTTAATTTCCTACAGAGATGACATGGGTTTTTTTTGTTTGTTTTGTTTTTGTTGTTGTTGATGCTGTTGTTTGCTAGCAGTTTTAATTTTCTATCTGATAGAAATTGTGCTGAAGAGTTAGACGGTAGGTTCACAAATCACACCATACAACTGGTTTCATGTGGGAGGTTTATTAAGGGAAGAGGAAGGGGTCGCAGAGATCATCTCTGGACAAGGTAGGAGAGAAAGAGCGAGAGAGAGAGACAGAGAAGAGCTTCGAGTTCTCTTATAAGAGCATGCACAGGTAGTTTCCGGTGGTCAGTGGGTGGTCTTGCAGGTGGCCTCACAGATGCCTTATAACCAGTTCGTCGGGTCCCTTAGGGCTGGCCGTAGACATGCCTGCTTAAGGATCCCAATACTATCAAAATGGAACATTGGTGCAGAAGGTACAAAAATCAAATCAAAAGTGAACTCAATTTTTATGCAGGGAATGTACCTACCTAGACTAAAAAGGAAGCACCATGGGAACTTAAGAAAATGACTATGCCCTCCCAGCTACTCCACAGCTCCCTAAGAAGATTGACAAACAGCCTTGCCTGTTTGGAGACATGGCAAAAATGAACCATACAGTAGTTGTTCCTTTGTGTCCTAGGTCCTCTCAGTTGTTATAGCCTACTTTATAGTAGTCATTATCTTTCCAGTTAGGATTATTGTGAGTACTAGCACAAAACATAACTTATATGTGACTTTTGGTAAAAATGACATTTCTAGGTGTTTTCATAAAGACAGAATTGCCAAGACATATTCATCTAGTCAATTTTAAAATTTATGCAATATGTTAAACTTGACTGCAGGCAGGTGTGTGAACACTGTTAAGTATGTATGTATAGATTTAGAATTAGCCATAATATATCATTTGTGGCTGAAGAAAGCTCTCTTTTGAGCTGGAAATGTAGCTAGGCAAATAAAATCCTTGTGTAGCTTGCTGAAAGCCCTCAGTTTGATTTCCACCATCATATAAACCAGGCACCATGGTACACACATGACGGTTGGGAAGTATACACGGGAGGGCCAAAGTTCAGAGGTTATTCTTGGCTTCAAGGTGATTTGGGGGCCAGCCTGAACTAAATGAGATTCATCTATTTATACTCTCTCCTCCCCTTCTGCCTTCTCTTCCATTTTTCCTTTCTACCTTTCTTTCCTCTTCCCTTTCTTTTCTACTTCTTTAGAATACACCAATGTTTTAAATAAATCTAACTTCTATAACCAAGGTTCCCTCTCACTATCAGTAATATATTTTACTGATTTCCTAATGTATATATTTATTGTTTCCAAAGCTGAGTTGTTGAGATCATCCTTCAGAAATCTTGTGAAAAATGTTTGGTGGTAATAATCAGCAGTAGTAAGGTGCCATCTATTGCATACCTGAGCAGCAAGGCTTGCAAAAGAAAGACACCAGCTAACTCACTATGAGCTGCCATGCTTGTTCAGTTATAGCTTACCACTTGGACATGCACAGATCATACTCTGCACCTGTAGGAGTTCTGAACTATAGGTGGTGTAGAGAACAGCCCTTTTTCCTCATGGGCTCACCAATATTTCTTCCATGGGGTCTTATGAGCAAGTTTTTAACCTAATGAAAGAACAGATGTGGTTAGGATGGGATAGCCCTTAAAATTTGAATGTGTTATAAGAAAATTTATTTGACTAGGTAAAGCCTTTCTGAAATCATGGTATGAATATGCATGGAATTAGGTTGACTATTTTTGACTGTGGTATTTTGTAGACATAACACACCAATCCCAGCACTATCAAATGAAAATTGTGAAGGGAATAATTAAAATCTAGTGTTATTAAAACAGAATGGGAAGATTTGATCCTCATGTTACCTAAGTACCTCTCAAGTTTCAATAAGTCTCAATTGGATGAAGCAGAGTTGCCAATCCTATCAAAACAGGGCTTTTTTTTTTTTTTTTTTTTTTTTGTAGTGTAAGTTTTACAAAATTGATTTATTATTATGTGTGCATTCATGGTGCATGTGTCTGAGTATGCATGTCCTACTCAGTAGAAGTCAGAAGAAAACTTTGTGAAGGCAAGTTCTCTTCTTTGACTTTTACATGGGTTCCAGGGATCAAAAAGGTCTCCAGGCTTGTGCCATATGCACTTTTACCCACTGAGCCATCTTGCCAGCCCCGATCAAAATACAGTTTTAAAAAAATAAAATAAAAGGCAAAAAGATTTATATGATTTGGAGAGGCTCAATAAGTAATTAATTGTCTAGATTAGACTGGCCTACCTGGGAGGATTATCTTGATTATGTTATTGAAGATTAGAAGACATATTCAATATGGGTGGCACTGATCCCTAAGAAAGGGATCCTGAATTGTGCAAGAATGTAATTCATAGTGCAAGCTGAGTGAAATCATGTACATAACTGTAACTCTCTTTTGTAGGTGGATACAATATGGCCATTTCTTTAAAGCTGCTATGACTTCCCTGTTATGATAGACTGTAACCCCCCTCACACACACACACACAATGAAATAAAGGGTTTCACTTTTACACAATTATCATTCTAAGAACTTCTTTGTTTGGGGCAAGCAAGATGAATCAGTGGGTCAAAGTGCTTACTGTTCAAGTCCAGTAACCCTAGTTTGATCCCTGGAGAATCCATGGTTCAAGGGGAGAACCTGCTCCTGACAGCTGTCCTGACATCTGCACACTAGATGTGGTATGTGCTTGCCAACACTCGTATACACACTAATAATTTAAAATTCCTTTGTAATTAATTAATTGGTGAAGTTTTTGTTGTTTTTGTTTTTTTTCTCTTTTTGAAACAGGGTTTCTCTGTGTAGCCTTGGCTGTCCTGGAACTTGGTCTGTACAACAGACTGTCCTCCAACTGAAATCGGCCTGCCTCTGCCTTCCAAGTGTTAGAATTAAAGGCATGGGCTACCACTACCTGGCTTTCTTTTTAATTTTTGAGATTATAATTTAATTACATTTCTTCCTCATCTTTCCTCCAAATCCTTTCACACTATCACAGCAAACTCTCAGTTCCTCAGGCTCTTACAGTTTTCTAATCCCTCTTCTGAAATAATCTCTGAGCCTTGAGTGGAACTGCAGTTGTATTGTGAGTGTACCTGTTGGGACAGGGCCCCACAACTCTGCATTTTTATTGATTTTCGCTTTCTGTAGTGGTCACTTACTGTTGCAAAGAGGTTTCCTCTGTGAGGGCTGAAGACTACCCTTATGTGTAGCTGATCTTTGCTACTTTGTGGGTTCTTTTTTTTCCCTACCCTTTATCCCCTGGTCTCACCCTCCTAACACTAGATAATAGAGAAACAAGGATAGAAAGAGGAGGAAAATCACTGAATATGATTTATTTCCTTTTGTTTCTTCTTTAACCACAGCTACTAGCAAACTGTAATCAACCTTCCGAAAAGACCAACAACCACTACCTGCTTCAGGGGTTCTGGGAAGAGGTTCACATTTATGTATCCTCTGAAAAGTTCCCAGAATCCCAACAGTCACACAAATGCAGAAATTATCTGCAGCTGGCAAAACCAAGCTTTTGCTAGAACATGAGGGCAAATCATGGTCAGTTGCTGTGGACAGCCCAAAGCAGCACTACATCCCTACACCTCAGATTTAAACGAGCACATTCTTATAATATTTCCATGGTTTTTTTTAAGAAACCAAAAAAATTCCAGGATTCTTAAGAATGATTGTTATAAGTAAAAGGTGGTAAAGGTAACAATGATCTCACTAGCACTGAGGAGTTAGCTGAGTGTCTAGTACCAGGCATAGTAATTCTTTTGTTGGGTGGGTCTTAAATTCAGTTAGAGAGCTGTTGATTACTGCTAAGGTATGTGTGCCACTACTGCACCTGTAGGATTATTATACCATGTTGGTTGCTGATGTGCTTTATAGATGTCATAACTGGGTAAGATTGTTGGTTGCCTTTGTTTTTTAAGTGATACTAAGATAGCTCAAAAGCCTGAAAACCTGAGTTTGATTTCTAGAACCCACGTAAATGTTGGAGAGAACCAATTTCACAGAGTTGTTAACTCTGGCCTCTACATACACAACATATCATGCATGTGCCCTTCCTCCAGCCCTCCGTCATACAGCCACAAATAATAATAATAACAATAATAATCTTTAAAAAATAAAGTTTAATATAATAGTGCATAGATGTCAGTGATTAAGAAACTGTTTTATTGCAGGAATACTGGGTTTCAGTTTATTTTTGGATGAATTTGAAACTCACATTGGCTCTTCTGTTTATAATCAATAAATTCAGTTCCGAAAATATTATTAGGCTGGGTGTGGTACAGCATAACACAGTGCCTAACAACACTAACTTCAGATCAAATTAAAAATGGAGTCCTATGCTACTTTGTTGTGAGACTTATGACACATGACTTCACCATGTGTCAGGATCATTTCCTGTCTGGTCTGAGCAGTGGGAAGCAGCTCTCACAGATCTTGTTGCAACGGTGTATGTATGAAAGAAAGGAGACAAATTTTCGGATGAAGTTCTGGACTCTGGGGAGCCATTAAATATTTTTTGGTACTGTGGCTTGATGAGATCTGAACCATAATGAGCTTTTGTTATGTTTATGTTTATTATTGGTACACAAGACTGTTGTCCTTTGAGACAACGGATTTTTACACATATGTAACCCTTTATCAGCACCATGATCAAAATAATAAGTTCATCCATCACTTTGAAGTTTTTTGTAAAAATTTTTAAGTGGGAAGTCTGACCTGGAAGGGGCAGCAGAGTGGAGGAAAGGAGCACCTGAAAGAGAAGAAATCATCTCAGAGGCTGCTGCCTAGTCAGGAGAGAAGAGTGAATAAGGTCATGACCTCAGTGGGTTGAGCCTTCCATAAAACCTTCCCAGTGGACAGTGGGCTTTTATATGCCACAAGCAACAGGTTTTCCCTTTATGAAAGTCCTTATTTTAAATAACTTCTCTCTCTCTTTTATTTCCCTGTTTAGGGCTTCAAAGATAACCCTTCTGCTTCTGGGACTTCCAGTCTAACAGCCACTAAACCATTGCTGCGTCCAAGAATCACGAGAATATGCCTCAGGGACTTGATATTCTGTATGGAACATGAAAGAGAAATGAAGTATTCTCGAGCCCTATACCTTGCCCTTCTTAAGTGATCACTCCATCCATCCAGACTCTCACTGTTTACTGCCAAAGAAGATATAGAGAGCACTGTTGCACTGTCCTGAAATGTACTCGGAAAATAGTCACCAGTATGGAAGACCACTGTTTACACTGACAAGCTTTTAGTACACCTTGTCTGTATGTCTTGTGGGTTCTTGCAGCTAAAAATTCAGATGCTTTCTGAAAGTCAGTACCAAGTATACTTTATGCAAAAGTATCACTTACCTACCTGCATTTAATTACAATAGCTCCCTTATACCACCTTAATTTTTGTTGTTGTTTGTTCCACACAGTAGCAATGAGGTGCCTTCCTCTAATACAGGCTGCATCAAGATGTAGGAGAAAGGAAGAGTCAGAATGTATCCTATACTGAACCTGTCTCCTAATGTTAGGTACTATGGTCTCCAATTAGAAGCTACTTAGCTAACTGTGACAGTTACCTTCTGTAGTTGAAGTGTGAAAAGCCACATAGTTGGGGAGAATCACCTCGGGCAGTTGAGCCAGAATTACAGAGCTGATGGAGACCATTTGTACCTGAAGTTACTGACTCTCTGGCTCCCCACACTACAGTGTTAGTGATACCTAGTGAAGGCTATCCTTGTCAGCCAATTTAAAACTGATATACCTCACTGAAAAGTGGAAAAGCAAAAAAGTACTGGAAGGAATATGGGCCTTGGATTCAAATTAACAAGGAAAAAATGAAAATGGCATCATGAAACAGATGTGAGCACCGTGTGCCCAAGGAGGGTTGGCTGCACTTGGAATGCCAAAGCTGGTCCTTGTTTTGTTGGCGGGAAAACAAACAAACAAAAATCATAGATCAACCAAAGAGGAAAAACCTGGCAAACATTTAGTTATAGTATTTCAAAAGGATGATTTGTTTTATTATTTTAATTCCCAAGAAGAAGTAGTTTTTTTTTTGTCTTACAAAGAATCTCCTAGTTACTGTAAGTTTTAAGCATCTAGTGCTTTTCAAATTTCGAACTGCTGGTAAAAACATTTCAACAGTAGGGCTCCCTCTGGATTGTGTACTTAAGAGATGCAGCCAGTGTCTTGTTCTTGGAGTGTGGTTCTAAATGTGAGCAACACATTATGTACCTCTCTCTAAGGAGGAAGTTGATATTCAATGCACCCCCCCCTTTTAAATTTACCGGTGTAGATTATAGCTGATAAAAAAGAATAGTAATATTGAAGTCACATACCAAAAAAAAGGCCAAACCCTCCCGAGAAACTCTTCCAGTATGTCACTCTTCATTCGGTTCTTCCCATAGGGACTGTTATACAGCCATATTGTATACTATTGTAAGAGTTTAGTTTGCCACAATTTTTTGCTTTAGCAAGTTATGTAAAATGTAAATCATGTATATGTTTTAAAAAGCACCTTCATGAGAAATCTATACCCAAAGTTTTGTATATTTAAATGCTTAGCTTTATTTTTTGTAAAGTGCAGTGTACTCTCACATTTGTGTAATCTTATTGATCAGATGTTTAAAATTATTTCAAATACACCATTAAAACAATTATTTTATGATTAAAAACAAACAGACAAAACTTTGCTCAGTCAGCAATTTTCATTAGTAGCCAGCTTCTTGGAGGACTCAGATCTGCCTGGTAGTGAGTCTCTCTCTCTCTCTCTCTCTCTCTCTCTCTCTCTCTCTCTCTCTCTTTTTTGTGAGTCTCTTATTTAGCTTGCCCTGTGGATATTTGAGTTCTGGAATCTCACTTAGATCTAAGTTGCTATATCACTTCCTTTGAAATAGTTGTAAATTTGCTTTTCTTGGCCCAATGAGTTTTTTCTTACCAAGATATTCTTTTTCAAAAATCTTAATATAAAACCTTTTTTGTGGTATTCACATGTGTGGTGTATGTACGGATGTCTTCCTCTCTTAACCTCTTCATTTTATGTTTGAAAACATGGTCTCACATGGGCACTGGGGATCCAAACTTGGGTCCTTATGGTCACACAGCTGGTACTTTACCTGCTGAGCTCGTTCCCAAGTCCCTTAATGTATATTTTGAAACCTGTGTTTTGGTGTGTGTCTTTTACAGAGAAAAACAAATGTGTGTATCCAAAATACCGCAGTTGGCAAAATGGAGGCTTTGGGGTAGATTTGATCTCCAAATGCATTGTCTTTAACACACAATATTAGCAAGCCTTGGATTTTTTTTTTAAATGTGAGTGCTATAGATCAAACTCAGGTTTTCATGTTTGTACAGCAAGTACTCTTACCTGCTGTCTTATACCCTAACTCCAATATTCTTATTTTCAAAAGAAACATTGAAAATGTTATTTTTATATATTTGTGTGTGTGTGTGTGTGTGTGTGTGCGCGCGCGCAGGAATGCACATGGGAGGTCAGAGGACAACTTGCAGGAGTTGGTCTCTTTATTATGTGTAAGTAGAGATCAGTTCAGATCATCATCAGGCTTGGCAGCAAGCGTCCTTAACCTGAGGAACCATTTCACTGACCTCTAAAATTATATATGACATGTGTTTTGTTTTATTAGAAATTTGTTGAAAATTTTATTTAGAATTAAGACTTTATGCTAGTAATGTCATGATTCTGACAGAAAACACAGCAATGTTAAGGTATAATATTTAGGAAAGTAAGAGGACCAATGCACATGCTGACTTTCACTTTGTTGTAGAATGAATCAGTTGCGTACGTATACAAATTTGTCCTCAAAAGTTCCAGTTATAGTTTGCAAGGGATAGGTACATTGTCTGAATATAACCTAGAAGACAATTTTTACTTTGTGCCATTCTTCTTGTGATACTCTTTCTCAGCTGTTAAGCTCTAGGAGAGGCTTCTGGGAATGCCGTTGAGGGATTATCTTGATTAGATATATTGCAGGACACACAGCTTGTCTCATTCCAGGGTGATTCCACTCTACAGCAAGTCCTTGGTGGTCATCCACTGGTATTGGCATCTCCAGAATGTTGGATTCTCTGCAACTGGGCTGTACCTTTGCCACTGGCCTTTGCTGGTCTCTCTTTAAGACTCTAACCCTGCCACATGGTGCCAAGCCTCAGTTTCTCTATGAACCTTTCTATCCTGGATCTTGTACTGCAACTAGGTCTGTACCTTCACCAATGGCCTCTCCTCAGGGACTGCAGCACTACTGCACAGCACCAAGGCTCCGCTGCTCTCCATGAACCCTTAACACCGTCAAAACCACTACCACCTGGGTGATTCTTACAACTACCAGCACAGGGTACATCCACAGATGTCTCAGGAGCACAGCTGCTGTGTGCTGACCCTGAGGAAACACTTCCCGGAAGATTTCACCTCAGTTACATCATGCTATTCTTAATCAACACTAATATCTCAGCTGCAGTTGACCATTGCCAATCGTCACAGCAAAACAGAGGTTTTACTGTAGGAGCTTTGGTCTCCTGTTAATCACAGCCAGTTCTGCTGCCTAAATCTGTGAACTTGACATGAACTAGAATCCTGTTCAAAGAAGGAACCCTGTTTCAGAAAAGTGCTCCTAGCAGGGTCGCCTGTGCGTGAGTTTGTGGTGCACATTGATGTTTAATGTGGAACTGTTCAGCACTCTGGGTGGTGCCACCTCTGGGCTGGTAGCCCTGAGTACTATACGAAAGCATGCTGAACAAGTCAGTAAACGACACTTCTCCATTGCCTCTGCTTCCGCTTCCAGATTCCTGTCCTGTTCCTGCCTTTACTTCCCTTACTGATGGACTGTAATGTGGAACTGTAAACTGAAGTACACCCTTTCTTCCCAAAATTGCTTTTGCTCATGGTGTTTTATCACAGTAATAAAAAGCCTGTGACACTCACCTTGGGCAAATTATTTTACATTTGTTTCCTCATTTTAAAAAAATCTGGGAAAGAAAGACCTATGGGAGACAGGAGCTCTGAAAGGAGACCAATAGAGCCATAAAAATTGAGCACAGGGGCCCCTGAAGAGAATAACCCAACTAAGGACAATGCATGTAGAGGACCTAAAATCCCTGGCTCATATGTAGCCCATAGACTCAGTCTCCAAGTGGGGTCCCTAGTAAGGGGAACAAGGACTTTCTCTGGCATGAACTCACTGGCAGGCTTGCTGATCACCTCCCCCTGGGGGGTACAGCCTTGTCAGTCCACAGAGGAAGACAATGCAACCAGTCCTGATGAGACCGCATAGGCTAGGGTCAAACAAAAGGGGAGGAGGACCTCCCCTATCATTGGACTATGGGAGGGACATAGGGGGAGAAGAGGGAGGGAGGATGGGATTGGGAGGAAATGGAGGGGCCACAGCTGGGATACAAATTGAATAAAGTGTAATAAATGATAATTTCTTAAAAAAGTATCTGACCTATGGGGTGACTGAGAATTTAGTAAATGTATGTGAAGCACTCAGACCAGCATATCACAGCGTAATGAAGGAATAATGTTATTGTTATTTGGAGTTTTAAGTGATAGCTTTACTTCCTGCCTAACTATGGTACTTGGCTAAATGCACAGCCTAGTGTATTATTTAAATCTAACCTAAGATTTATAAATTTCTGTGTGTGCCATTGGAAGCCACAAGAAGATTGTGACTAACATAGACGTTTAACAGCCTCTCCCCAACCCTCTCTTTGTGTGTTTGGTGCTGAAGATTGAACTTAGACTTGCCATATGAAGATTCTACCACAGTACAGCTGTATCCCTGTATGAGCTTGTTACTGCAACAAAATACCCAACAAGAGGTCACTTAAGGGAGGAAGGTTTATTCTGGCTCAAGGTATAAGAGATAACAGCAATCCATCAAGTTTGGGAAGATGTGGCAGTAGGAATGTGAAATAGATGGTCACTTGGTGTTTGCAGTCAAAACAGAGATGGATGCGGTGCTCATCTTGGTCTCTCCTTATTCAGTTCAGTGCCCCCAGCAAGTGTGAGGATGCAACCCATAACAAGTCTGGATCTTCCCTGCTCAGTTTAAAAATTTCTGAAAATTCTTTTATAGACACATACAGAGGAGTGTATAAACCCAGTCAGGTTGACAACATTTATTGTCACAACCCTTATCCATTGTTCTGGAGAGTTTTATGTCAACTTGACATCTGAGAGGAGGGAACCTCAATAAGATCAGGCTGTGGCTAAGTCTGTAATGCAGTTTCTTATTTAGTGATTGATGTGGGAGGGCCTAGCTAATTATGGATGTCGCCATCCCTGGGCTGGTGGTCCTGGGTCCTGTAAGAAAGTGGGCTGAACAAGCCAGTAAGCATGGCCTCTGCAACAGCTCCTGCCTACAGGTTCCTGAACTTTTGAGTTCTTGTCCTGACTTCCTCCAGTGATGGACTACAATGTGGAAGTGTAAGCCAATAAACTTTTCCTCTCCAACTTGTTTTTGGTTGTGGCACTTCATCACAGCAATAGAAATCCTAACAAAGACATCCACGTTCATGATTTTGTCTACTAAGTTTCCTGTAGGGTTGGGAGCAGTAATTGCCATCCCTTTCAAATGTTTAATTGAAAACGTTACAGAAACATATAGGGCACATTGCAACAGTATAAAATGGCACACAAAAATGCCTCTATTACAAGTTCCCTAGGGCCTCCATCCCTTCTCAAGATCCATCCATGTTTGTTAGTTTCATACATCTCACTGTGCAGTCACTATGTTCTTACCCTCTTACTTGCAAATGAGAGCATACTGATTTATCTTAACCTGTCTTCACAATTCAGTTATTCTTAATTCCACCTGTCCTATTTTCCAGACTAGGTGTGCTGGTAGAATTGTGCTATAATCTTTATGGGGAAACAATTTCACTTGAGGGATTCAGTTGTTTGTTTGTTTTTTAAACTATTTTGTAAATATGTCTGTTGACTTTTATAAACACTATTTCACTAGAAAAATCCACCAAAATATGTCTATGGATTCCACTATTCCCCCACCAAATAATTACTGTAAGAACAACAGGAGAAGAGGAATATTCTATGCATATTATTCTGGGGGTGGTGAGGATAGGGAAAGAAGAAAAATCATTTACAGGAAGGACCCACTATATTGGTTATAACTCTGAAGACTCATTTAGCCAACCTGAATTCAAAATCACTCCAATCTCTTCTCTGTGATACATACATACATACATACATGTATACCATCATCTCATGGAGGCATATACATAATACATACATATATACATACATACACACATACATATATACATTGTATGTGTGGTGTGGTGAGTGTATTTGGTTTTTCAAGACAGCGTTTCTTTGTGTAACCTTGGCTATTCTGGACTCACTTTGTAGACCAAGCTGGCTTCAAACTCAGAGATCCACCTGTCTCTGCTTCCAGAGTTCTGGGATTAAAGACGTGCATCACCATGCCCAGCTGAGATTTATATTAAAAAAAAAAAAAAGTGGGTTAGAGCAGGAATGATATAAAAATTTGTCATTCATAGGCATCATAGATGGGTTTGCCTGGACACCCAAACTACTCACTAAACAAGCCTCTAATAATCTTCTGTTGG